GACACCTGGGGTGGCGATGGGGGACACCTGGGACATCCTGGGACATTCTGGGGTGGGGTGGGGACACCTGGGGCATCTGGGACCTCATGGGGCGGAGATTGGGGACACCTGGGACATCTGGGACACCTGGGGTGGGGACACCTGGGACACCCTGGGACACCCTGGGACACCTGGGACCTTGTGGGACACCTGGGACACCTTTGGGTGGGGTTGGAGGACACCTGGGACCTCCTGGGGTGGCGATGGGGGACACCTGGATCCTCCTTGTCCACCATCTCCAACGCTTCCTCCTCCAGACGCCGACATGGAGAGCAGCTGATGGCCACCGCCCCCCACCACTGTCCCATTGTCCCCCTCTGTCCCCTCTCCACCTTCTCCTGCTCCTCACCCCCCAAATTAAACCTCGTCCCACACCTGGTGCTGCTCAGGGTCGTGTTTTTGGGGTGGGGTGGCCAAGGGGACATTGTGTCCCTCCTGGGTCATGAATTAATGACGGTGTCGGGGTCTCCTCGTCTTGGACGGGGGGTGGGGGGTGTCACTGGTGGGGAGAGATGTCACTCATGGTGGTGGATCCATCATCACCATCATCATCACCATCATCATCACCATCATGGGTCCATGATGGTGGTGATGGGTCCATGAGCGTCACCATGGGTCCATCATGGTGGTTCATTATGGGTCAGAGGTGGTGGCTCCATCATCACCCTCATCATCATCACCATCATCATCACCATCATCATGGGTCCATGATGGTGGTGATGGGTCCATGAGCGTCACCATGGGTCCATCATGGTCATCATGGGTCAGAGGTGGTGGCTCCATCATGGTGGTGGCTCCATCATCACCATCATCATCACCATCATCATCATCATCATCATGGGTCCATGATGGTGGTGATGGGTCCATGAGCGTCACCATGGGTCCATCATGGTGGTTCATTATGGGTCAGAGGTGGTGGCTCCATCATCACCCTCATCATCATCACCATCATCATCATCATGGGTCCATGATGGTGGTGATGGGTCCATGAGCGTCACCATGGGTCCATCATGGTCATCATGGGTCAGAGGTGGTGGCTCCATCATGGTAGTGGCTCCATCATCACCATCATCATCATCATCATGGGTCCATGATGATGGTGATGGGTCCATGAGCGTCACCATGGGTCCATCATGTTGGTTCATTATGGGTCAGAGGTGGTGACTCCATCATCACCATCATCATCATCATGGGTTCATTGTGGTGGTGATGGGTCCATGAGCGTCACCATGGGTCCATCATGGTGGTTCATTATGGGTCAGAGGTGGTGGCTCCATCATCACCCTCATCATCATCATCATCATCATCATCATCATGGGTCCATGATGGTGGTGATGGGTCCATGAGCATCACCATGGGTCCATCATGGTGGTTCATTATGGGTCAGAGGTGGTGGCTCCATCATGGTGGTGGCTCCATCATCACCTTTATCATCATCATCATCATCATGGGTCCATGATGGTGGTGATGGGTCCATGAGCATCACCATGGGTCCATCATGGTGGTTCATTATGGGTCAGAGGTGGTGGCTCCATCATCACCATCATCATCACCATCATCATCATCATGGGTCCATTGTGGTGGTGATGGGTCCATGAGCATCACCATGGGTCCATCATGGTGGTTCATCATCATCATGGGTCAGAGGTGGTGGCTCCATCATCATCATCATCATTGTCATCATCATCATCGATCCATGATGGTGATGATGAGTCCATGAGCGTCACCATGGGTCCATCATGGTGGTTCATCATGGGTCAGAGGTGGTGGCTCCATCATGGTGGTGGCACCATCATCATCATCATCATCGGTCCATGATGGTGGTGATGGGTCCCTGAGTGTCACCATGGGTCCATCATGGTGGTTCATCATGTGTCAGAGGTGGTGGCACCATCATCACCCTCATCATCATCATCATCATCATCATCATCATCATCATCATCACCGTGGGTCCATTGTGGTGGTGATGAGTCCATGAGTGTCACCATGGGTCCATCATGGTGGTCCATCATGGTCATCATGGGTCAGTGGTGGTGGCTCCATCATCACCATCATCATCACCATTGTGGGTCCATGATGGTGGTGGTGGGTCCATCACGGTGTTGGTTGGTCAGTCATTGTCATGGTGGGTTCTTCATCATGGTGGATCACCTGTGGTGGCAGTGGAGTCCCTCATGGTGGCCATGGGTCACTTGAGGTGGTCACTCATAGTGATGGGTCACTTGCGGTGGTCACTCATGGTGGCCATGGGTCACTCAAGGTGGTCACTCATGGTGGTGATGGGTCACTTGGGGTGGTCACTCATGGTGATGATGGGTCTCTTGAGGTGGTCACTCATGGTGGTGATGGGTCACTTGAGGTGGTCACTCATGGTGGTGATGGGTCACTTGAGGTGGTCACTCATGGTGGTGATGGGTCACTTGGGGTGGTCACTCATGGTGGTGATGGGTCACTTGAGGTGGTCACTCATGGTGGTGATGGGTCACTTGAGGTGGTCACTCATGGTGGTGATGGGTCACTTGGGGTGGTCACTCATGGTGGTGATGGGTCCCTTGAGGTGGTCACTCATGGTGGGGGTGGGTCTGGTGGGTCCCTCCTGGGGATGGGTCACTCCTCATCGTGCAGCTTCTGGAGTTGGGTGGGAGAGAAGGTCCAGGGGTTGTTGTGGGACAGGTGGTGACAAGGGGTGGCAGGAGGTGACAGGAGGTCCCACCTTGGCTCCGATATCACGGCTCTTGGCCCGCAGTTTGTTGACCTGGGACTCGGCGATGTCCGCACGTTCCTCGGCCTCGTCCAGCTCGTGCTGCGCCTTCCGGAACTTGGCCAGGTTGGTGTTGGCCTGTTCCTCCTGGGGGGATGGAGGAGGTCACTGGGGTGGCCTCAGGGAGGTGTGGATGAACTCCTGACACCCCCACAGCTGAGATGGCTTCATCCATCTGTCCATCCTTGACATCCATCCATCATCCATCCATCCATCCATCCATCATCCATCATCCATCCATCATCCATCCATCATCCATCCATCCATCATCCATCCATCATCCATCCATCATCCATCCATCATCCATCATCCATCCATCCATCATCCATCCATCATCCATCCATTCATCCATCCATCATCCATCCATCATCCGTCATCCATCCATCATCCGTCATCCATCCATCCATCCATCATCCATCATCCATCATCCATCATCCATCCATCCATCCATCATCCATCATCCATCCATCCATCCATCATCCATCCGTCCATCATCCATCCATCATCCATCCATCCATCACCCATCCATCATCCATCCATCATCCATCCATCCATCCATTCATCCATCATCCATCCATCATCCATCCATCATCCATCCATCCATCCATCCATCCATCCATCCATCCACATCTATCCATCATCCATCCATCCATCCATCCATCCATCCATCCATCCATCCATCATCCATCCATCATCCATCCATAATCCATCCATCCATCATCCATCCATCCATAATCCATCATCCATCCATCATCCATCATCCATCCATCCATCATCCATCCATCATCATCCATCCATCATCCATCCATCACCCATCCATCATCCATCCATCATCCATCCATCATCCATCATCCATCCATCATCCATCCATCATCCATCCATCATCCATCCATCCATCATCCATCCATCATCCATCCATCATCCATCCATCCATCATCCATCCATCCATCATCCATCCATCCATCATCCATCCATCATCCATCCTCCATCATCCATCCATCATCCATCATCCATCATCCATCCATCCATGGATCCATGTCTCCATCCCCCTGTCCCATTCACCCACCGCCTCCTCCGCCTGTCTCTTGTANGTCCCTGTAGGACCTTCAGGTACCTCCTCCACCTCCCTGTAGGACCTTCAGGTTCCTCCTACACCTCCCTGTAGGACCTTCAGGTTCCTCCTACACCTCCATGTCCCCATGGGATCTTCAGGTTCCTCCTTGACCTCTACATCCCCATGGGACCTTCAGGTTCCTCCAACCCCTCCACGTCCCCATGGACAGGTACCTTCAGGTAGCCCTGCAGAGCCTTGACCTGCTTCTGGGCCTCGTTGGCGCCGCGGTTGGCGTGGCTGAGCTGGATCTCCATCTCATTGAGGTCGCCCTCCATCTTCTTCTTCAGCCTGAGGGCCTCGTTGCGGCTCCGTGTCTCGGCGTCCAGCGAGGTCTGGAGCGACTCCACCACCCGAAGGTGGTTGCGCTTCACCTGCTCCATCTCCTCCTCCTTCTCCCCCAGCTTCCGCTCGTACTCGGCCTTCACCTGGTTGAACTCCAGCTGTCCCCTCAGGATCTTCCCCTCCTCGTGCTCCAGGGACGCCTTGGTGGGTGGACAGAGAGGACCTTGAAGACCACAGAAGATGGGCGTCCCACCAGGAGAACGTCGGGATGGGGATTGTCCCACCTCAGCTTCTTCCAGAGCAGCTTGGAGCTCCATCTTCTCGGCCTCCAGCTGTTTCCGGACCTTCTCCAGCTCGTGGATGGATTTGTTGCCGGCGCCGAGCTGCTCCGTGAGGTCCGAGATCTCCTCTGCCCAGGTGAGACCTCAGTGAGACCTCTTGGGAATGGGTGGGGAGCACCAAAGTGGGGCTCCTCCCAGGTTCCTCGCCCAGGTGGGCAGAGGAACCTGAGGTGTCACCTTGGAGATTCTTGTTCTCCCTCTTGAAGGTCTCCAGGTGCTCCAGGGACTCCTCGTAGATGTTCCTCAGCTTGAAGATGTCAGTGCTGAGGGCCCTGGCCTCCTTCTGAGACGCCTCCAGCTCCGTCTGTGACTCCTCGAACTTCTGCTTCCACTCAGCCAGGACCTGAGGACCACCAGGTGTCACCCCATGACCACCTGGCCCCACCCCACCACCTCCAACCCACCACAGATGTCCACCTTGTCGAAGTTCCTCTGCTTCTTGTCCAGAGCGGCGGCGGCTGCGTTGGAGCGCTCCACGTCGGCCATCAGGTCCTCAATCTCGTTCTGCAGACGGTGCTTGGTCTTCTCCAGCGAGGAGCATTTGGCGTTGACGGCCTCCACGGCCTCCTCGGCCTCCTGCAGACGCTGAGCCAACTTCTTCCTGCCCCAGGGACCACCTGAGGTCACCCGTGGGCCAGGTGGGGCCATTCAAACCTTCTCACACCCGGCCATTGGTCAAAGTTCTGCTCTGCTTCTGCTCTACCATCTCCAGGTCATTCTACCTTCTCCAGAACCTTCTCCTGTGGGTGGTCTCCACCCTCTGACCTCATAGAAGCTCCACCCATGAGGAGATGACTCAGAATCCTCCAAAACCTTCTTGAGAACCTTCTCCTGTGGGTGATCTCCACCCATGAGGAGGTGACTCGCTTGGCCTCCTCCAAACCTTCTCCAGAACCTTCTCCTGTGGGTGATCTCCACCCCTGACCCCAGAGGATCTCCACCCATGAGGAGATGACTCACTTGGCCTCCTCCAGCTCCTCGGTCCGTTGGATGGCATCTGTTTCATACTTGGTCCTCCACTGGGCCACCTCGGAGTTGGCCTTGGAGAGCGCGCGCTGGAGCTCGGCCTTGGCCTCGGTCTCCTCCTCGTACTGCTCCCGCAGAAGGTCCCCGTCGTGCCGGGCCGACTGCAGCGCGTGCGCCAGCGCGTTCTTGGCCTGGTGAGGAGAAGGTGACACCGTTGTCACCTTCTCCTCAGGTTCAGGTCACCTGGAGACCTCCATGCCTCAGCAAGGGCTGGTCTTCATCACCACAACCCAACCAGAGCTTCTGTAGACCAAGCCAACCTTCTCCAGACCAACCCAACCCTATTTGGACCTTCCACAGATCAACTCAACCCCACCTTAGACCACTTTAGACCAACCCAATCATCCTTGGACCTTCTGTAGACCAAGCCAACCTTCTCCAGACCAACTCAACCTTCCTTGCACCTTCAGAAGAAGGTGGGACCATTGGATCCAGGTCAGCTTGAGCTTCTTGGAGGTCTCCAGCCCAGCAAGAGCTGGTCTTCACCACCTCAGCACAACCAGACCTTCCATAGATCGACCCATCCCTCCCTGGACCTTCTACAGTGGAAGCCCCTGTAGATGGAACCACTGCAGATGGACCCACCCAACCCCACGAGGCTGTGACCACGAGGGTGAAGGACACCTGTGACCCACCTGGACCCTCCCCAGATCTTCTCAACCCCACCAGCAGACCTCACCTTCATCTCCTCCTCCAGCTGCCTCCTCAGGTCCTCCAGCTGCTGGGTGTAGGACACCTTCCCTCGGGTCAGCTGGGACACCAGCGCCTCCTTCTCCTCCAGCTGCCGTGACAGCTCACCTGCATGGGGTGGGTGGAGCTTCAGCTGTGGGGTGGGGTGGGGTGGGGGGTGGAGATGTGGGGCCCCAGGTTCAGGTCCCACCGTTCTCCGTCTGCAGCTTGGCCCGTTGGGTGTTGGCGTCGTTGAGGACACGTTGGGTCTCCTCCAGCTTGGCCAAGTGCTCGGCAGCCTGGTCCTCCATGGAGCGGGACACCTTCTCCATGGCCACCTGCAGGGAGGGGACAGTGGAGGGGTGGGGCTGGAGTGGACATGGACATTGCTGGAGGTGTCCAAGGCCAGGTTGGACAGGGCTTGGAGACACCTGGTCTTGTGGAAGGTGTTCCTGGGTGGGACCCACCCAACCCAACCTCTTGGAGACTTCTTCATTTCAACCCAACTCAGGTCAACTCAGCCACGTGGAGACTCTTCAGTTCAACCAGCTGAAGGTTCTTCAACTCACCCCAACAAGGTGGACACCCAACCAACTCAACCAGCTGAAGGTTCTTCAACCCAACCCAACAAGGTGGACACTCAACCACCTCAACCAGCCCAACCCAACAAGGTGGACACTCAATCAGCTGAAGGTTCTTCAATTCAGCCCAATAAGGTGGACATTCAACCCAACTCAACCAGCTGAAGGTTCTTCAAGCCAACTCAACAAGGTGGACACTCAACCCAACCCAACAAGGTGAACACTCAAGCAGCTGAAGGTTCTTCAACCCAACCCAACAAGGTGGACACCCAACCAACTCAACCAGCTGAAGGTTCTTGAACCCAACAAGGTGGACACTCAACCAGCTGAAGGTTCTTCAACCCAACTCAATAAGGTGGACACTCAACACAGCTGAAGGTTCTTCAGCTCAACCCGACCTGGTCTAGTGGAAGATGTCCCTTCCCACGCCTTGATGGAACTGGATGGTCCCACAGGAACCATCCCATGATTCCCTGCTGTCCATCTCAACCTCCTCCTACCTTAGACTTGATCAGCTGCTCCACGTTGGCGCTGAGGTCGTCCAGCTCCAGCTTGAGCTCGCTCTTCTCCTTCTCCAGCTTCTGCTTGACGCGCTGGAGGTTGTCCAGCTGCTCGCCCAGCTCGGCCACGCTGTCGGCGTGTTTCTTCCTCAGCGCAGCCGCGGTGGCCTCGTGCTGCAGGGTGGCTTCCTCCAGGTCCCTCCGCAGCTTCTGGAATTCCACCTCTCGCTTCTTGTTGAGCTCCAGCTGGGCCGAGGTGGCACCACCGGCTTCCTCCAGACGTTCGCTGAGCTCCTCCAGCTCCCGTGACAGCTCCGAGCGTTGCTTCTCCACCTTGGCCCGGCCCGTCCGCTCAGCCTCCAGCTCCTCCTCCAGCTCCTCGATCCGTGCCTGATGGGTGAGAAGGTGGTGGGTGGTGGGATCCAAGTGAGTGTCCAACTTGGGATGCGTGAATCCAGCTCGAGCCAAATTGGGTTAATCCAACTTGACCCAACTCAATCATCTGGAGATGTTCTTCAATCCATCAAGGTGGACACTCAATCAGCTGAAGGTTCTTCAACTCAACAAGGTGGACGTTCAACCAACTCAACCAGCTGAAGGTTCTTCAACCCAACCCAACAAGGTGGATGCCCAACCCAACCAGCTGGAGGTTCTTCAACCCAACAAGGTGGACACTCAACCAGCTGAAGGTTCTTCAACCCAACCCAATAAGGTGGACACTCAACCCAACTCAACCAGCTGAAGGTTCTTCAACCCAACCCAACAAGATGGACACTCAACCCAGCTCAATCAGCTGAAGGTTCTTCAACCCAACCCAATAAGGTGGACATTCAACCCAACTCAACCAGCTGAAGGTTCTTCAACCCAACCCAACAAGGTGGACACTCAACCCAACTCAACCAGTTGAAGGTTCTTGAACCCAACAAGGTGGACACTCAGCCCAACTCAATCAGCTGAAGGTTCTTCAACCCAACCAGGTGGACACTCAACCAGCTGAAGGTTCTTCAACCCAACCCAACAAGGTGGACGCTCAACCAGCTGAAGGTTCTTCAAGCCAACTCAACAAGGTGGACACTCAACCAACTCAACCAGCTGAAGGTTCTTGAACCCAACAAGGTGGACACTCAACCAGCTGAAGGTTCTTCAGCTCAACTCAACAAGGTGGACACCCAACCCAACTCGACCAGCTGAAGGTTCTTCAACCCAACCCAATAAGGTGGACACTCAACCAGCTGAAGGTTCTTCAGCCCAACCCGACCTGGTCTAGTGGAAGATGTCCCTTCCCACGCCTTGATGGAACTGGAAGGGTCCCACAGGAACCATCCCATGATTCCCTGCTGTCCATCTCAACCTCCTCCTACCTTAGACTTGATCAGCTGCTCCACATTGGCGCTGAGGTCGTCCAGCTCCAGCTTGAGCTCGCTCTTCTCCTTCTCCAGCTTCTGCTTGACGCGCTGGAGGTTGTCCAGCTGCTCGCCCAGCTCGGCCACGCTGTCGGCGTGTTTCTTCCTCAGCGCGGCCGCGGTGGCCTCGTGCTGCAGGGTGGCTTCCTCCAGGTCCCTCCGCAGCTTCTGGAATTCCACCTCTCGCTTCTTGTTGAGCTCCAGCTGGGCCGAGGTGGCACCACCGGCTTCCTCCAGACGTTCGCTGAGCTCCTCCAGCTCCCGTGACAGCTCCGAGCGTTGCTTCTCCACCTTGGCCCGGCCTGTCCGCTCAGCCTCCAGCTCCTCCTCCAGCTCCTCGATCCGCGCCTGAGGGGTGAGAAGGTGGTGGGTGGTGGGATCCAAGCGAGTGTCTAACTTGGGATGCGTGAATCCAGCTGGAGCCAAATTGGGTTAATCCAACTTGACCCAACTCAATCATCTGGAGATGTTCTTCAATCCAACAAGGTGGACACTCAATCAGCTGAAGGTTCTTCAACTCAACAAGGTGGACATTCAACCAACTCAACCAGCTGAAGGTTCTTCAACCCAACCCAACAAGGCGGATGCCCAACCCAACCAGCTGGAGGTTCTTCAACCCAACAAGGTGGACACTCAACCAGCTGAAGGTTCTTCAACCCAACCCAACAAGGTGGACACTCAGCCCAACTCAACCAGCTGAAGGTTCTTCAACCCAACAAGGTGGACACTCAACCACCTCAACCAGCTGAAGGTTCTTCAACCCAACAAGGTGGACACTCAACCAGCTGAAGGTTCTTCAACCCAACCCAACAAGGTGGACACTCAACCAACTCAACCAGCTGAAGGTTCTTCAACCCAACAAGGTGGAAGATCAACCAACTCAACCACCTGAAGGTTCTTCAACCCAACCCAACAAGGTGGACACTTAAATCCAACTCAACCCAACTTTGGTCAATCCAACTTGACCCAACCCAACCAGCTGGAGACCAAGTCAACCCAAGCAGCTGGAGACCATTCAAGTCAACCCAACCATTTGGAGACTCTTCAGCCCCAACCAAAACCCACCCAGCTGAGCGGAGCCTCTTCTACTCAGCTCTACTACCTTGAGACTCTCCAAGTCAACCACCAGGTTCCTCTTCAAGCCAACCCAACCCCCTCGAGATCCTCCAGTCCAACCCAAGCAGACACAGACCAGATGTCCCCCCCCACCTGGAGCTCCTTCAGCTTCTTCTGGAGCTGCAGAGCCAGCGCCTGCTCGTCCTCAATCCGGCTGTTCTGCTGGTGGATCTCAAACTCCTTCCTGTGGAAGGAGGGGGGACAAGTGAGGACTCTCCTGGGACCCTCAGTTGGACCTCACTTGGAAGGTGGATCCAGCCTCACTTCTTGAGCTTCTCCTCCAGCTGCTGCTTGTCATTCTCCAGATCCATGATGTTCTCCTGGGTCAGCTTCAGGTCACCTTCCAGTTTCCTCTTGGCCCGTTCCAGGTCCATCCGGATCTTCTTCTCCTGCTCCAGGGAGCCTTCAAGCTGTGCAGGAACACAGAAATGGGGAGAAACCTCAAGTTTTGCTCACTTTTGACCCAGAAGTTCCTCAGCAGGGCCTGAGGTGGGACCGGCCACACTCACGTCATCCACTTGCTGTTCCAGCTTGACTTTGCCCTTAGTCAAGGTGTTGACCTTGTCCTCCTCGGCCTGCAGGTCATCCAGTGTCTGCTGGTGGGACTCCTGCAGAGTCTTCTTCTCCTTGGTCAGCTTGGCAATGGTCTCGTCCAGCCCTGCCATCTCTTCCGTCAGGTTCTTGACCTGTGGGAGGAGTGTCCGGCCTCCAGCTCAGCGCCAGGGTGGGGCAGATTCGGGGGAGGTTGAGGTTCACCTCAGCCAAGGAGGTTGTTTCGAAGCAGGAGAACCCAAAGGACTTTGGGTCTTCTCAAAGCCCAACCCAAAGGACTTTGGGTCTTCTCAAAGCCCAAGCCAAAGGACTTTGGTTCTTCTGAAAGCCCAAGCCAACCACCAGTGGATCTTCCTAACCTGCCTTGAGTCTCCTCAACCCAGGCTAAGAGATCCCACCCAGTCTTGGGTGTCCTCAAACCCAGCCTTGACCCACTTCAGCTATCCTTGGTCAACTTAACCCAAACTGCCTTGGGTCTCCTCAACCCAACCAAACCCAACCAGTCTTGGGTCTCCTCAAACCCAACCTCAACCTACCTCAACCATCCCTGGACATTTCAACTCAACTCAACCCAACTGAACCATCCTTGGTCATCTCAACCCAACCCAACCAGCCTTGGGTGTCCTCAAACCCAGCCTCGACCCACCTCAGCCATCCTTGGTCATTTCAACCCAACCCAACCTGCCTTGGGTCTCCTCAACCCAACCCACCCAACCCAACCAGCCTTGGGTCTCCTCAAACCCAACCTCAACCATCTTTGGTCATCTCAACCCAACCCAACCCACCCAGCCTTGGTTCTCCTCAACCCAACCCAAGAAGGCTGAGCAAGTCCCCTCACCATGAGGCCATCTTCTCTCCCCACCCTCACCTTGTTCTCAGTGGCGTGTTTCTCCTTCTCCACCTTGGCCAGGGTCAGCTCCAGGTCATCGATGTCCTTCTTCAGCTCCGAACACTCGTCCTCCAGCTTCCTCTTCTTGGCCGTCAGCTCGGCGTTCATCTCCTCCTCGTCCTCCAGACGTTCCGTCAGCTCCTTCACCTTGGCCTCCAGTTGGATCTTGTTCTTGATCAGTTGGTCGCAGCGTTCCTCGGCGTCATTCAGGTTGTCCTGCTCCTGTTGGGGTGGGACGGCAGGTGAAGCGGGGTTGTCCCAGGGGCTGGTGGAGGTGTTGGTCACCCCCATGGCGTGGTTTTGGGGTGATGTGACTCACAGCCTGCACTTGGAGCTGGAGGTCGTTCTTCTCCTGCAGCATGGAGACCATCTTCTCCTCCAGCTCCTTCCGCCGCGATTCCGACTTCTCCAGGGCGTCCTTCAGCCGCCCGTACTCCTCCTTCATGTTCTGCTCCAGGAGACCCCGAACGGGTCAAAGACCCTCATCCAACACCCCCCCAAGACCATCGGTGGTCCCACCCTGCCCTGTCCACTCCTCCCACCTGCATCTCCTTCTCCGTCTCCGCGCTCTTCAGCAAGGGCTTGATCTTGAAGTAGAGCTTCATCCACGGCCAGTTCTTCACGCCCATGAAGGCCCTGAGGTTCCACTGGATCACCAGCAGCGCGTCCCTACCAGGAGGAGAAGGACACAGGTGCCACCACAGTCCCAACCTGGTGGCCAGGTGAGCAGAAGGTCCACCCCCGTCTCACCGGCGCTCCACGATCTTCTTGAACTCGAGGCGCATGAGCTGCCCCCGCGCCCGCGCCTGGATGCGCGTGATGATGCGGGACAGGCGCTCGTCCCGCATCTCCTCCAGCTGGCCCAGCAGCCCCGCCTTGAAGAAGACCTGAGGGGAGGGAGGAGGTGGTGGGACCATGAGGTCCACCTGGGATGGTGGGACCACGGGGGACAGGGACCACAGGGTCTTCCCACTGTGTTGTGAGGGGTGGAAGGATGGGGTGGTGCGTTAATGGGGGTCAGATGGACACGGTGATGGTCACGAGATCATGAGGTCCATGTCCACCTCAGATGGTGGGACCACCAGGAACAGGAACCACGAGATCTCACCCAGTGGGATCAGAATGGTTGTGATGGGTGAAGGATGGGGTGGTGCATGAGTGGGTGGTCTGATGGACACAGTGATGGTCATGGGACCATGAGGTCCATGTCCACCTCGGATGGTGGGACCACCAGGGACAGTGGGATCAGACTGGTTGTGATGGGTGAAGGATGGGGCAGGAGTCCAGGAGGACCAGATAGACACAGGGAGGCACAGACGGACACGTGAACGGTGGGACCATGGTGGTCCACAACACCTGCAGGATGGTGGGACCAGGTGACCTCACCTTGGTGTGCCCAAACTTGTACTGGTTGTGGTCAATGTCGATGGAGCCCAGGAGCTTCTCGGCGCCCTTGCGGCTGTCGATGAATTGTCCCTCGGGGATGGCCGCGGGGTTCAGGATGCGGTACCTGGTGGCCACAGAGACCGTGACCTCCAAGATCAGCCCCGGTGGGGTTGTCCCCTCCTGCCCTCACCCCCCGGTGTCCCCACCGCTGGCGGAAGTCCCCGTAGAGGATGCGGTTGGGGAAGCCCTTGCGGCAGATGCGGATTCCCTCCAGGACGCCGTTGCAGCGGAGCTGGTGCATGACCAGGGCGTTGTCCATCACACCTGGTGGTGGTGGTGGTGGTGGAGGAGGAGACAAGGTGAGAGGTCAACCACGAGCCACACCCACACGCCCCATCCCCCACCCTCGGCTCACCCGGCTCCTTCCGCTCGTTGGGGACCAGGCAGCGGACAAAGTGGGGGTGGGTGGTCTTGAGGTTGGCCATCAGCTTGTTGAGGTTCTCCTGGGGAGGAGAGGCGAGGATGACCACCAGGAGAATGGGTTGGGTGGTGGCACCACCCTCCACCAGGGCCTGTTGTCCCCCCGCCCCACCGAGTGGGAAGGACGGTGGGAGGTACCCTCAGGTGGTGACCATCACAGGCAGTGACCACCACAGGCAGTGACCGTCACAGGTGGTGATCTGGGGCAGGTTCCTCACCCGGTGCAGGGCTGAGACTGTCTGGAAGGAGGAACCTTTCTTCTTGGCTCCTTTCCCCTTGCCGCTGTCACCTCCTGCGGAGGAGAGCGGTGGGATGAGGTGGGAACAGCTCCTGTGAGCTCCTGTCTTCTTCACCATCATCCATCCATCCATCATCCATCCATCATCCATCCATCATCCATCTGTCCATCATCCATCATCCATCCATCACCCACCAGAATCCGCCCCGGCGTAGTTGGAGAAGAGGTGGGCCAAGAGCTTGAGGGCGGATTTCTGGTAGAGCCCCACCACCGTCTCGTTGAGGGGGTCCTTGTTCTTCTCCAGCCAGCCCAGGATGTTGTAGTCCACCGTGCCGGCGTAGTGGGTGAGCGAGAAGTGAGCCTCGGACTTGCCCTTGACGTTCCTGGGCTTCCCGAAGTTGGCCGACTTGCCCAGGTGGTTGTCGTAGAGTTTGGACTTGAAGGTCATGTCCGAGGCCTTGGGGAACATGCACTCCTCCTCCAGGATGGACATGATGCCCATGGGCTGTGGACGAGGAGAACTTGGACACCGAGGACAACCCAAAAACCACCCGTGGGGCACCTGAGGAGCTCCAGCTGGATGGTGCCTCCTCCTTCAGCTCCTCCTGGAGGTCCTGGAGGTGCTGGGGGTGGTGGTACCTTCTCGATGAGGTCGATGCAGGCCTGGAGGTCCATGCCGAAGTCGATGAACTCCCACTCGATGCCCTCCTTCTTGTACTCCTCCTGCTCCAGCACGAACATGTGGTGGTTGAAGAACTGCTGGAGCTTCTCGTTGGTGAAGTTGATGCAGAGCTGCTCGAAGCTGTTGAACTGGGGCAGGGGATGGAGAGGTGGGTGGAGGAGTCCATGGGGGCAACCAACCGCCAGCAGGGCCAGTCAACACCCAACGGGGCAATCAACACCCGACTGGGGCAGTCAACACCCAACGGGGCAATCAACACCCAACGGGGCAATCAACACCCAACTGGGCCAGTCAACACCCAACTGGGCCAGTCAACACCCAACTGGGCCAGTCAACACCCAACTGGGCAACCAACACCCAACTGGGACACCTGAGTCCATGGGGGCAACCAAAACCCAGCTGGGTCAATCAACACCCAATGGGGCAACCAACACCCAACTGGGCCAGTCAACACCCAACTGGGCCAACCAACACCCAACTGGGCCAACTCAACACCCAACTGGGCCAATTGAGTCCATGGGGTCAACCAACACCCAACTGGGCCAACTCAACACCCAACTGGGCCAACTCAACACCTGACTGGGACATCTCAACACCCAATAGGGTCAAAGTGACCCCAGTGGGGGTCAACGGGGACAACACACAGTAGGGTCAACAGAACATCCAACGAGATCAACGAGCTCAACCCAAGAGCCCAAGGGTTCACCCAGTGGGTTCAAGAGGGTCAACCCAACACCCAAAGGCGTCAACGCCCAACCGGCTCCATGAGGTCACCACAAAGACCCAAATTCCCACCCGAGGTCACCGTGAAGCTGCAGGAGATCCACTCAGGACCCAACCAGCTCAAGGCCACCCCTGCAGGACCCAGCTCCACCTCGATCCTCACATCGAAGATCTCGAAGCCGGCGATGTCCAAGACGCCGATGAAGTATTGGCGCGGTTGCTTGGTGTCCAGCGAGTTGTTGATCCTCACCACCATCCAGTTGAACATCTTCTCGTAGACGGCCTTGGCCAAGGCCCCGATGGAGTAGTAGACCTGCTGGACGCTCTGGCCCTTGGTGACGTACTCGTTGCCCACCTTGACGCGTGGGTGACACAAGCCCTTGAGAAGGTCGGCCGAGTTCAGCCCCATCAGGTAGGCGGACTTGTCGGCGTCTGCGGAGGAGAAGACACGCGGGTCAGGTGTCACCTCAACCGGTGACACCTCCCCGACCCGTCACCCCGACCGGCCTTCGGTGCCGTCAGGCTCCGCCTGTTCCTCCCGCTGCTTCTGCTTGAACTTCATGTTGCCGAAGTGCATGATGGCACCCGTCAGCTTGTAGACACCGGCCTTCTCCTCGGCCGTGAAGCCCAGGACATCAAAGGCGCTCTGGGAGGGGTGAAGAAGGGGCCAGGTGAGGGTGTGGCCACTGCTGGTCACCACCTGTGATGGTCATCACCTGTGATGGCCATCGCCTGTGATGGCCATCGACTGCGATGGTCACCACTTGTGATGGTCATCGACTGTGATGGTCATCGACTGCGATGGTCACCACTTGTGATGGTCATCGACAGCGATGGTCATCGACTGCGATGGTCATCACCTGTGATGGTCATCGCCTGCGATGGCCATCGCCTGCGATGGTCACTGCCTGAAGGTACCTCCCACTGTCCTTCCCATTCATTTTCCCAATTGGCCAATGGGGACATTCAGCCACAGGCTTGTCCACTTGAAGGACTTGTCCATGGACTTGTTCATCTGTCCATGGGTTCATTTCTCCAGCTCAGGACTTGTTCGTCCTGGAGCCATCCATGCATAGATCCATCCATTCTTCAGAACATTTATCCATCCATGGACTCATCCATCCATCCATCATCCATCCATCATCCATCCATCATCCATCCATCATCCATCCATCATCCATCCATCATCCATCCATCCATCATCCATCCATCATATCATCCATCCATCATCCATTATCCATCCATCCATCATCCATCCATCATCCATCATCCATCCCTCCCTCCATCCATCATCCATCCATCATCCATCCCTCCCTCCATCCATCATCCATCCATCCATCATCCATCCATCATCCATTATCCATCCATCATCCAACCATCATCCAACCATCAATCCATCATCCATCACCCATCCATCATCCATCCATCATCCATTATCCATCATCCATCCATCCATCATCCCATCCATCCATCATCCATCCATCGTCCACCCATCCATCCATCATCCATCTATCCATCCATCATCCATCTATCCATCCATCCATCACCCATCCATCACCCATCCATCATCCACCCATCCATCCATCATCCATCCATCAATCCATCCATCATCCATCCATCATCCATCCATCATCCATCCATCCATCATCATCCATCACCCATCCATCCATCATCCATCCATCATCCATCCATCATCCATCCATCATCCATCATCCATCCATCATCCATCCATCATCCATCCATCATCCATCCATCCATCATCCATCCATCATCCATCATCCATCATCCATCCTCCATCCATCCATCATCCATCCATCCATCATCCATCCATCATCCATCCATCATCCATCCATCATCCATCCATCCATGGACCCTCCCTCCACCCCTCACTGCTCACGTCGGTGGCCAACAGCTCCTCAGAGTCATCTATGGAGGCCACGGTCACCTCGCCTTGGGAGACGTAACCGTAGTCGTAGGGGTTGGAGGTGACCAGCAGCATCTCTGGTGCAGGATGGAGACACCACTGAGCATTTCTGGTTTCTCCAAACCACCCCAAAATTTGGGAGGTGAGGGGAAGGAGAAGCCCCGAGGCCACGGTGGTGGCCTGGCTCACCCAGAAGCTCCGGCTTCTTGTTGGAGAGGATCTGGTAGAAGATGTGGTAGTTCCGCTCCGCCTTCAGCTGGAAGATGACGCGGGACTTCTCCAGGAGGTCTGGGGGGGGATGGGGAGAAGGTGGCATGAGGAGATGGATGGAGATGGGAATGGTGGGATGAGGAGAGGGATGGAGACATGGAGCTCATCGGATTTATCAGAAATGGAGATGGATGGATGGATGGATGATGGATGGATGATGGATGATGGATGATGGATGGATGATGGATGGATGATGGATGGATGATGGATGGATGGATGATGGATGGATGGAGGATGGATGGAGGATGGATGGATGGAGGATGGATGGATGGAGGATGGATGGATGGAGGATGGATGGATGATGGATGATGGATGGATGATGGATGGATGATGGATGGATGGATGGATGATGGATGGATGATGGATGGATGGATGATGGATGGATGACGGATGGATGATGGATGGATGGATGATGGATGGATGATGGATGGATGATGGATGGATGATGGATGGATGATGGATGGATGATGGATGGATGATGGATGGATGGAGAAGTTCTCGTGGATCCATCCTCCACAGACACAAGGTGGACACGGGGACGGATGGATCCACCAGCAGATGGACACGAGGAGGTGACCAGAAGCACGAGGATCCATC